TGCCATTTTCCATTACATGACCGCTCTCTCTCTCTCTCTCTCTCTCTCTCTCTCTAATCGCATCGGAGGTTTGTTTGAATATTTGTGCTATTTTTTTTATTGCGGTTGTACCAAGAAAACAAACAACAACATAACAGGTGAACGGCAAAAACAAAAGTGATTTGGTTTTGCGATAGATTCACGTTTGATTTTGCTTCTCTTTTCGTCAGCGTCCAAATGCCATTCTACATTCAAATGCAGACTGCATTATGCAGTCGAAAAAGAGAACTGAATCAAAAATCCTTTAATAAGAACACGATTTATTGAGAAAATAATTTCATTTAATTTAATTCCAATGAAAAAAGGTCAAAACGATCGTATCGTGTCGCAATCTATCGTTGTGTTCGAATCCTATACGAAGCAAGCCGCATTCGAAATGAATGACTCGGACTTTGCGATTGTCGCCATCTTACTGTGACGTCACATTATTGAGCTGACGAATAGATCACGCAAAATATTCAAAGAGTCATTACATCGTAGCTTTTCACATTCATTTCCAAAAGTGCAAACTCTAGTTTTTCGCCACATTTTTCATGAAAGGAAAAAAAAACTCTCATCGATTTTTTGAGTTTTCAATCGAAAAAAAACCAAATTTTCTCTGGTGAATTAGTGTGATACAATTTCTTGAAGTGTTCTCAGAGCATCTTATCTATTTGGGATTGGTGGACCTCCCATCGCGTCCGGAAAATCTTGAAATTTTTAGAAAACGTATTGAAAAATTTTACAATTTTACACAATTTCATTTAAAATTTTATAAAAGTTACTTATTTCAAACCGTTCAAATCAAACACAACCAACAGTGTCAACTACAGATCATTCAATATATTCGCAATATAGTTAACAAATTGAGAACATAAGAAAGGAGGGGAAATCTCTCAGAATCTAAAGAAAGAGCCAAATTTTCATAGTGTAACAGATTTTTAAATTGAACATGGGTGATTTAAGGATGTAAAAATCCATATGTCAAGCAACATCACGATTCGGAGAACGAAACACAGACCGAATGTTGTTATTCAACTCAATTTTTTTTTCAATTCTTTCTCATTTATTTTATGGCAATTCAATTTTGTCCACCCGTTTCATAAAATACCATATTCGATATATATATTCTGATCCTTATGTATTCTTCTTTTCTCGATATTTAATGAAATCCGGATTTTTTCGGATATTCTGCTCTCAAACTCCGGACATTTTTCTGAATTCCGTACAGAAATTCCGGATATTTCGTAAAAATTCGATGGGAGGTCTAGGGATTGGAATTCCTCCTTCATTGCTTCTTTCCAATTCGATGATTGCGCACTCTCCATAGCTTCATCGTATGTTTTTGGTATGCTTATTTCTGCTCCAACATCCATTGTTTCACTACAGTGTTTTTCTTCACTTTCCTCATTGGTCACAGAGCACTTTGACCCTCAATTGGTTCATCCTCCAGAAATATGACATCTCTGCTGCGTATTATCTTTTTGCTAACAGGATCATAAAGTTTGTATCCCATAGCCTCTGCGCCATAACCAAGAAATATACATTTCATTGATTTAGCATCAAGCTTCTTGCGTTTTTCTTGCGGCACATTTACCATAGCCTTACATCCAAAGTCTTTGAGCCATGGAATGTAAGTTTTCGTGCCATTCCAAAGTTCATTGGGTGAACATTTTGACTTTTTCTTCGGAATGATATTCAAAATAAATGTGACAGTAAGGGATTGTCGGGTCATTTGGGACGGCTTAGCTTTTGAAGTCAACACCTTTTTTCAGATGGGAATTTTTCAGAGTTTAAGGTATCGTTGGAAAGGTAACCTCCTAAGCTAACTTTTTGCCGAAGAAAATCTTTGGATTGTGTCAGTGAAAAAAAAAAGTTATGTAAATTTTTCCAACTACCATTTTTTTGTCGAACTACCATTTTAGGGTCATTTGGGACACTACAAAAAATCTGAAAAATAAGTGATAAAACGAAATGAAATAATAGTATCATCTATCGATTTTATATTGTGTCTTCATCCATTTTTCGTCATGTAGCATACATATTGACATTTTTCTGCGGATACGATACTAAAAATGTAAGACGAATAAACTGGATCCGGGTCGAACTGAAAAATGACGATTCTAGACTAAAGAACGAGGAGAACGGTTGCATTCTTGACAACTTTGACATTTCGATGTACACACACATATAAAAACGTATGGTGGATTGAAAAACGTCACCAATGAACTAAACTATCACTTGGTGTAGCAAGTTCATTGAATGTGTGAACGGGTGGCAATATTCGATGACTTCAAAATCACATGAAAAACCACACAAGTGTTGACAGTGCAAACTCACGATTTTTTCGAAATATTTCTTTGGAGAACAAATCGTGGATGAAGCCTAGGCATTGCAGAGCCCGAATATCAACAATAAAAGAAAATAAATGAATATAATTCCCAAACAAATAATGTATATAAAATGTATGGCGTTTCCAATCTCACCACTGTTCACCACAATCAGTCAAAGCATTAATGTGAATGACGCATGACAAAGTGACTTTGACAGCACACGCATATGAATTGTTGTCATGTTTACAGTCGGAAATGTCAATGCAAAATCTCCAGTATCCAGTTTAACTCTACTTTGGGGAATTGGGTATTCGCTTGTTCTGAGTCCTCAACTATTTTCGCAAAAAAATGGCAGTTTGCCTTGAGCAAAACCGTGAAAAAAGGTTTTTTCGAGAACTTCCCATACAAAATTGTATTTCTCATTGTATTGCGGGTCCATTTTAACCAAAACTTTTTCTAAACAAACTAAAGCAAAACATGTTAAAATCTATTTTATTCTCACTAATTTCACTTGAAATACGATTTTGAATCATAAAAGTGACAACTCAAAGCAAAATCACAAAACATGTGAGCGTCCCAAATGACCCGACACGGATGTCCCAAATCAGCCGAAAGTCGCCAATTTGCAAAGCACTTTAAAAAAATCCATGATGAAAAAACATCCGAATGCTTAGGTAATATTGAAAATAGATACATTTTACAGCACATATTAGATATTAACCTTCAAATTTGTTTGGAAAATATTCAATTTCGAGTGGTCGGCAAAATGGTAAATTTGACTATTTTTCACAATTTTTTGTCATGTGTCTAGTTCACTAACAAGAAATGCGACTTGACTCGTCGGAATATACCATCAATAGTGTTCATTTGGCGTGCCATTAACATAGCAGCAATGACATTTGACAGTCACTGTCAAATTATGGAGATATGGCACCGTCCCAAATGACCCGACGTCCCAAATGACCCGACAATACCTTATTTAATGCTTCTGCCCAAAAGTCATGTTCCAGACCACTATCTATTAATATGCATCTCATTTGTTCTAAGATGGTTCTATTCATTCTTTCAGCTGTTCCATTCAGTTGTGGTGTATATATAACTGTTTTCTCGTGTATCAAACCCTTTTCTTTGAAATATCCTTCGAATTTCTGATTGATATATTCAGTTTCATTATCCGTACGTAATATTTTCAGTTCTTTGCCAGTTTGCTTCTCGGCTTGTGTTTTAAACTCCAAAAAGAGATCAAATACTTCACTTTTCCGTTCCATCGGATATGTGAATAATTTATTCGAATAATCATCCAAGAAGGTGACAAAATATTTGTGATCTCCCAATGACTCTACTGGCATAGGTCCAACTACGTCAGAATGTATCAATTGTAATACTTCTTCCGCTTTCTTTCTTGTACCATTGAATGGATTTCTGGTCTGTTTTCCTTTGATACAGGTGATACACTTGCATGTTTGATATTTCGAATGTTCTCTCATCAATGTCTTTATTTTCCTTCAGAAATCTCATAATTCCGAAACTTGTGTGCGCCAAACGCCGATGCCATAAATATGCATTCTCAACACATTCGTTTTCTCTACAAATTAATTCATAATCGGCTTCATTTACCTGCAACTTGAACATATTGTCCTTCAGGTTCGCAACTGCTACTATATCTCCATCATATGCTTTTATCTTGCATATACCACGTTCAAATTCAACCTTAAATCCCTGTTGATTTAGTTGATTAACTGATAGAAGACTCGTACATAGCTCTGGTATGTACATAGGCTGTCCTGCCATTCACCGATTTTAAATCAACATAGCTCATTTAATTCGTTACACGTTGTAGAACATTTCGTGGAAGAAATTTTTTTGAAAAAATGATTCTCCGCGATCAAAATTGAAGAAAAAGAAAATAACTAATTGAAAGGTTTAACATTGAACGGGCAAGATGGCGACTTCGAATACATTCCAATACTTTCACACATTGCTGTTAGCCGAGGAGCATCTATGCGATACTTCTTACTCATAACGACACACGCTGAGAGTGTGTTTGTTTTTAAACACATTGACGAATTATTCAAATTTAAATCTAGTTACCGTTGTTGTGTAGAACTAATACCGTTCGTCGTGAGACAAATATATCAATGAATGGATGCTATAGTAAATGTCTGGATTGTCACATGAAAACGCGCCGTTTTCAAATTGGTATATAAAATTATTTTTTATGTGCCGATTTGGAATCGGCATGTTTTTGTGTAACGTTTCAGAAAAATGTGCCGTTTTCAAATTGATACGTTTTTCTGAATTGTCAAACAAAAACACACCGATTCCAAATCGGCACATAAAAATTAAATTTCTATACCAATTTGAAAACGGCGCGTTTTTGTTTGACGATCCAGAAAAATGTATCGATTTAAAAAAGGCGCATTTTTCCAGTGATGGAATGGCATACGCCACCGTAGTCCATTCACTGGCTTATGCAGAATGTAAGCGTAAGACAACCATAAGCAATGAATGCGTTTAAATACGTTTGACGTCATTTGACATCTGGATAATTTGTGTTGGCTTACGCCAGCTTATGCAAAAGTGGACAATTGTCCAGCCTATCTAACAAAACTGCAAAGACATGCCGATTCCGAATCGGCACATAAAAATTAATTTTATATACCAATATGAAAACGGCGTGTTTTCATGTGACAATCCAGACATTTACTATAGCATCCATTCATTGATATATTTGTCTCACGACGAATGGTATTAGTTCTACACAACAACGGTAACTAGATTTAAATTTGAATAATTCGTCAATGTGTTTAAAAACAAACACACGCTCAGCGTGTGTCGTTATGAGTAAGAAGTATCGCATAGATGCTTCTCGGCTAACAGCAATGTGTGAAAGTATTGAAATGTATTCGAATTCGCCATCTTGCTCGTTCAATGTGAAACCTTTCAATTGATTATTTTCTTTTTCTTCAATTTTGATCGCGGAGAATAATTTTTTTCAAAAAAAATTCTTCTACGAAATGTTCTACAACGTGTAACGAATAAAACGAGCTATGTTGATTTAAAATCGGTGAATTCCTAAACAGCCTAATGTACAATACATTTTTAATCATGCACAATACTTTTTCGCCGTCAACAAGCAAATTCAATTTCACATCACCCATCCAGCTCACTTCCAATTTCCCTTTATCTGCAACTAATATCTCTTCATTTTGAGTTGCTTCCATTGCGTCTGCAATTCCCTGTAATAAAACAGTTTTGACGTAATCAACCGTGAGATCTTTTCCACTATTTTCGATCCCCAAAATCATGGCTAAATACTGCTCAGGAAACCCTCCTAACACCAATGAGGCTATCACATCTTCATCTATTTTAAAGCCAACTATCTTGCTTTTCTGCCAATACAACAATATCTCATACATAAATACATACCTCTCCATCGATTTAAATTTGACCAATTTAATCGAAACTAACTGATTTAAAATCGTCACTTTTCTCGGTACACCACCATCGTCAAAAGCTTTATGCAACCTCTTCCAAATTACATGAGCATCCTTACTCTCATCTATGTAGTTATATAACGTTTCTTCTATCAATAACGTTATCTCACTGATGGCACGCGCATTGTGCTGTGGGCTTTCCTCTGCGCTTGTTTCTTTCTCTATTACTTCCCAGAGACATTTTATTATTAAATAAGACTTAGCTGATACACGTCACCTATCAAAATTTTCTCTTCCTTTGAGCTTTTCAAAGGCGGCCCTCTGGCTGTTTCCGTTTGATATCTTAACTGGGGGTTGTTTTTAATTTATATACTGTGACTTTGAATAGGGCTGTGCTGGCTGGACGGAATTCTTTCTTCTGGTTTACTATTCCAATTAATCCTTTTTGTTTAATATTAAGATATGTTTTCTCTGCAAATCGCTTTATCAAAGTATTTTCGACTACGTTTGGATTATATACCAATATTTTAATGAATTCTTTTGTAACTGGTTCTAATAACGCCAACCCAATTCCTATTTCACAGCATGCAACCATTACTTTCAATTTATAATTCCCCCTCTCTAAGTAGATTCCCTCTCTCTCAGGCACTAGGGGCCACTCACTAGATGTCAACTGAATTGATTCGGAGATTGTCCAATATGATTGGTTGTTTATTGGAGGTAAATAAGATGGAAACGTCTTTCCAACTTTATTTTCTTCAATTTTGATCACCTGTCCGTGTTTGATTTCAGCCGCTATCTCGTCTTGTTCTTGTCTTTTGATTTCAGCTTGATAACTATTACCCGCTTGCGCTTCGATTATCCTTTTAGTATTTGTGCACATAAATTGTAAAAGGCTCGATTTATCCTTCTCGATAGCGCTTGCTGTCTCCAATTCATTCTCAGTCAAATCGCCCTCAATTTGTCCAAATCTTGTTATTATTTCCAATAACAAATCTTCAATCGTTTCTTCTGTTGGAACTTCAGCAAATTTTTCGCTCTTTATTTCTTCTTTGCCCTTATCTTCACTCATTTAATCAAAAATATTGAATTAACTGCAAGTTGAACTAGCTTATTTCCACACAGGAAATATTCAGGAACACTCTCGTTCAAATTATTTCTCTCGAACATTCACGTACAAACTGCTTTTCTCGTTCAAACAGCTTCTCTCGTACAAACTGCTACTTCGCGTACTCTGGGCCCATAACCAAGTTGTGATTCATATACGACTGAATACTTTATTGAGCTTCCTTACTCTATTTAAACAATGTTTCTTATCAATTAAATTCAATTAGAGCGTTTCTTTCTCAACAGCTAATCGTGATGGTGTTAATTTGATTAGTCCCATTTGATTTGATTCGTTCTAGTTTTTAATTATGAATTAAAATATTTCAACATCATTATTTCAACAGATTTGAATTTGAAACTTGTCTCCACGTTTGAGTCATCGTCATCGTCATCGTCATCGTCATCGTCATCGTCATCGTCATCGTCATCGTCATCGTCATCGTCATCGTCATCGTCATCGTCATCGTCATCGTCATCGTCATCATCATCACGAGAACAGAATTGTACTGCGTTCGCTAACCACATACATCGTGTGCAGACAATCAATTTGGAGAATATTGAAAGAAACTGTTTTGTGAGTGAGAAAAGAGAGCGAAAATTTCCAGACATTAAAAATACACATTGTTTTTGCTCTTGGTCATCGAAAATTTCGACAGAAAAATGTCTTCATCCGACCGTTATTTGAAAAATGCACATCAAGATTTATTATCCAATGCTCGGAATAATCGAGTTGAAGACATCAAAAAAGCGTTGGACAGTGAAAAACCAAAATTGGAAGTTAATTTTAAAGACGAAGATGGTAATACTGCTCTACATTTTGCTGTTGAATATGCCCGGAAAGAAGCCGTTGATATATTGCTCCAGTATGGATCATCTACTACCATTCAAAATGACGAAGGAAAAACTCCGTTAAATGTGGTGGAAGATAAGCTGAATGCGAATCCGAATGACGATAATTTGAAACTAATCAAGAAATCGTTGGAAGAAAGTCGACAAGGCACATCTCGTAGCATAAGCAGAACTTCAAATGATGATGGAAAAACTGTAACACATTCACCGAAAAATGAACAACGAAATAAAACTGAGGAGAGACTCATTCCAAGCTCAAGCTCTCTGAATGCGCGTCAAGACACTGACAATACCTACTATTCAACCGGTTCGACCATGCATGGGTCTATATTCCAGTTCAAGCTCATTATGTTTGTTGAACAGCGCCTGAGAAAAATGGGCCACAAATTCCGACTCGCATCCGAAATGGAAGCGGCGGAAAAGTTCGACGATGTTGTGAAGGAGCACACCGTGAGAAACAAACAATATTGGAGCTTTATTCAAGCAAAACATAAACAGGACGATGATGCAAAAATCAAAAGCTACGACTTACAGTCGACAAAGGATTCCGACCCATTTGGGATCCTGAAATATCTTCTGTCTTTGATCAGAATTAAAAATAATTCACATTTCATTAGGAAGGAACTGAACGACTTTGCGATTGTTACGAATGCGAACTACGATTTTGAAGGTGAAGCAAAAGGCGAGCATGCGACGAAATGGAAGCCGCTTCGTAAGGAAAATCCTTTGAAAGAAGGTGATTTACTGTATATGGAAGGGTTCGAAGTAAAGGAATGCAAATTATCTTCCAACGATGATGTCAAAATGTTCTTGAAAGCGAATTTATTGGTCAGCGCTTTAGCATTGAAAGAAATTTCGAAATTTCCTGCCGTTCAATATGAGTTAGAAAATCGTGCTAAACACATTACAGAAAAAGAAATTGGCAAATTGGCTAAGAAGAAATTGAACGATCTATTGAAGAAATTGAAAGAGGCAAAAAAGGAAAAATCCGACGAAGATCAAACCGATTCGGCATCTCTAAAAGGAGATAAAGACAAACTGAACGAAATTGTGAGAAAATGTAATGGACATAGGGAAACAATTCTAAATCGCACGAATATAACACATGTAATAGCAATAATGGAAAAAGATACAGATCTCAAAGAGTTCATTGACTTAACTGAAATAAAAAGTATAAAAGATTTAGACAAGACCATTTCTGCACTATCAATAATCAAAGCTGCTCTGGATGATGCTGCGTTTGACGAATACTTTGACGAATTTGTGCAGAAGTTTCGATTTGTCACCGATTTCCCGAACCAAGAGAAGCTAGGTGATTTCATTAAGGGTGATTTGGGTAAAACGTTCAAATTGTTGAATGCGGATTTGGTGAGTGCTTCGTTCGAGAAGGAAATGCTCAAGATCATGAATTGCAAAAAAGGAGAGAATCGCTTTCACACCAAAGAAGAAGCAGATGAGTTTGAAAAGAAAATGGCGATCGCACTCAACGGTTTGCTCACCTCTGGCTTGAGTTTGGTCTATCCGGGAGAGTTGAAAGCGCATAAGATTCGTTTTTCTGAAGGATCCCTAAAATCAGAGCATTTGAAGAAATTGAATAGTTTTTTGGATCCAGAACAGCATGACAAACCAGTTTTTTACCTTTGCACTCAGTCCACACGATTGACCGCCATTAAATTGCTTCAGATTTTGGAAAAGCATAAAAGTTATAAGGAGAAGAAAGACAGTTTAATTTTCATTCGATTCAATACATTATCACAAGGTGAAATGAAAAAGTACATTTTCAATGCTTTTAAACTTGGAAGCCACAATCTTTTGGTGATAGACTTTGAAGATAAACACGATGAAAAAACACTCGCTTCAATTCTTGCGCAAGTCAAAAATATTCTCCGTGAGAAAAAAATCATTTTGATCAGTCAAAATTTAAAATTCAAAGATACGAGTTTGATTGATGAAATAGAGGACAGCACTTCATTCAAAGATTTAGATAAAAGGTCCCAAAATTTGGTACTCAGAACGAAAGTCAATTACCAAGGAACAACCATGAGCTTAAATCGACTCATCAATAGAAATTATGGTGCGAAATTCTTTGACGGAAAAAGCCTCGCGAGACTTTTGAATGGGAATCAATTGGAGATAGGCAACGAAAATGCATTCTCTTCCAATGGCTACGTGGAAGAATATTACATCGAGAGAACATTTCATCGTCAGATAATCAAAAAAGACATTCTCACAAATAAAGATCAGTTATTTTTCATTACTTCAACGAAGAAAGAAGATATGGCCTTTTTGGAAAGAGATTTACTCAAAATGGGAGCACGACAAAATAATATTGTCCAATTGGAGGATAAAAATGTACTAAATACATTAAATACATACAAAATACGGATTATTCTTCCTCCGCTAAATCAAAGTGATCAAGAATATTATGAAATATTTCGGAGTCTTGGGAAAAATGCGCATTGGTTGGAATTGCATCAAGGCACGAGCCTATTCTGGAAATTATCTACCGGTGATATTTCACGCATCACCACGAAAGAGGTGGTTCCAGATGAACATCATTTCTGTAACGTGAAACAATTCGGAAGCAAAGTCGTTATACTAGCAAATGATGCCGGAATGGGTAAATCAACGGTATTGACCAGTATGGCTAGGAAAATGAAAGAATTGAATGATAAAGAGAAGAATGAATGTGAAGTCAACTGTATTATACGCATCAATGTGAATGATTATGCCAATCATTTGAGTAACTACGATTTTACGGAAAATGATGTTGATAGAGCTATAGACCTTGTTGCGAAAATGGCAATCCCCGGAGATGCAACGAATAATATCGATATCAAAATACAACGAACGCTTTTCGAAACAAGTCTTAAAAGACACGAAGTTGGATCGAATTTAAAGAAGCCCAAAATTGTTCTAATGTTCGATGGGTTCGATGAAATATGCCCGAACTACGAATCCAACACTTCACATCTAATCAGGGAACTGAAGGAAAGCAACGTTGCACAAATTTGGGTCACGACTCGAGCTCATGAACAAGATCATTTACAGAAAGAGTTCGGATCGCTTGCTTACACGTTAAATCCATTGACCGAAGAAGATCAGAAGAATTTTTTGGACAAATATTGGAAATGGAATTTGACGAAAATGACAGAAGAAAATCCATCGAACTATCAACAAATTTTGAGTCATCCGAACATCAGGTCGAAATCTGGTCAGCTCTTAAATGATTTCTCCACACATTCCGACAAAATCCTCCAGAAATGGAATCGTGCTATTCTTGATGAAAATAGAAAATTTACAACGGTTCCGCTACTCTTACAAATGTTGGCCGATGTCACATTGGAAATGAAACTCATTTTACCCGAGAAAAATGGTCTCTTGAATTTATACGATCAGTTAATCGATATCAAACTTGATATTCATTCCAAAGAAAAAGTTAAAAAGGATCCAAAAGTTGTACAAGCAAACTGCGAGAGTGGAATGGCCAAATATTATTTTCATAAAATTTGTATGGAATTATCCGTTAAACTCTTCTTTCCAAATGATAAATCACTGCCGAGCTTGGTAAACATGAAACTACTGACAGACGAAACAAGAAATTTTTCAACCGGAACTGGACTATTAATTTTAAAAGGAAGTGATTTGGTTTTCATTCACCGAAGCTTCGCTGAATATTATTTCAGTCGGTATTTAATCGAGAATATGAGCAGAGAAGAAGTACAGAAATTATTGTTCAGTAAAATCTTTAAAGACGATAGCTATGGGCTCATTTGCCAGTTTTTCAATGATCGACTTGAAAAACTCCCCGAAAGCGAAAAGCAAATCGAATTGACGGATGCTGCAATGGAAACAATGTTATCGGTCCAACCTCTTCTCAATACTGCTGCAAATGGTAATGCTGAATGATTATGTGTAGAAAGAATGTGATTCAATCTGTTTCATTTTCCAGGTCATAGGGAGATCGGTCAACTTCTCATCGACAACAATGCAGGTGTCAATGTAATAGGCGAATTTGGAATGACACCTCTTCACCTTGCTGCTAAGAGGGGTAATTCTGAATACTTCTGTGTGGGAAAAATGTGATTCAATCTTTTTCATTTTCCAGGTCATAAGGAGATTGTTCAACTTCTCATCGGGAACAGTGCAGGTGTCAATGGAATAGACGAATTTGGAATGACACCTCTTCACCATGCTGCTGAAAGCGGTAATTCTGAATACTTCTGTGTGGAAAGAATGTGATTCAATCTGTTTCATTTTCCAGGTCATAAGGAGATTGTTCAACTTCTCATCGAGAACAGTGCAGGTGTCAATGAAATAGACAAACATGGAATGACACCTCTTCACCATGCTGCTGGAAACGGTAATTCTGAATACTTCTGTGTGGAAAGAATGTGATTCAATCTGTTTCATTTTCCAGGTCATAAGGAGATTGTTCAACTTCTCATCGGGAACAGTGCAGGTGTCAATG